AGACACACATTTTTATTTTTATTTTTTCACCCGTTGTGCCAAATAAGAAAAGCAAATGGAGTATACAAATAATAATACTCCCAATAATAAATAAGCAAAAGGGGCCTGGGCTATCTCCAATTTACCAGAGGTGTGGACTCGAGTCATGTGACTTGGACTCGAGTCAGACTCGAGTCATGATTTTGATGACTTTAGACTCGACTTGACCAAATATAAAAAGACTTGCAACTCGACTTGGACTTTAACATCAATGACTCTGACTTTCACTTGGACTTGCGCCAATTGACTTGTAAAGACTTGCGTAACCCGGGCTATTTTTACCTTTCTCCGCATCTCTCTTTCTATCTATGCCGTCTCTGAAGAAACAAAGCCTTGCGGTAGTTGTAGCGCTCGCGAGAGAGTTCGAACGTGAGTTCCCCGCAGTTCGAGCAGCAACACTTCCCTAAACAAGCGGACTGCATTCACCGGTGGGTGTGTTGTCGTAGGGGAGCTGGAAATGAGCGAGCTGCAGGTATTTATCGCGACCTAACGTCATACTTTGTTCTACAAACCGTAATTGATATGCTTTCACTACAGGCGCCTCATACAATTGAATCGACGCAGTTGTCACACTGTGTGCCGTGTTTTAAAGAGGAACTGGTGAGTCAAACTAGCGCTAGCCTGCGCTGCTCTGTTGGCTCTTTCTTATATTTTTCTGTGTGGGCGCCGAGGCCTATTATTATGAGTATGTTTTTGCTGTGCTCATCCTGCTAAAGTTTGCATACATTAGATAGTTGTTTTGATTATGTGCACTAAGCTAGATTAATATTTGCACTATTGTTTATGGTGCATTGATATGAGAATCAGTGCTTTGACTGATTGAATTAATTTATATGAGACATTTTATTATGTAATGATATATTGGTAATTATGAGATATTGCTAATGCTGGTCCAGTTGATGGCGAGCTGCCCCAGGTCCAAAGCCTAGACCCCTCATACTACCCCTATTCTACAGTAGGACATTTGGAACAATAACCACTACGGACATTAAACTGATTATATAGATACAGGTCCTAGCCCAATACTCATATTCATATATGCTGCACTTGCTACTTCCCATTAAAAACCCCAAAGATAAAAAGTATGTTGACAAGGACTGCTCTGATTTTATGTGTGGTCTGTGCATGTGTAACTGAGCCTGCATCTGGCACAACATCCAATTAGATCACGTGGATAGTTTTGATTTATCAGCAGCCAACGACATGGAACAAACTGTTAGTCCATGGGTCAGAGACCAACGAGAATGCACCAGCAAAATGATTCCTAACATTATTTTGTGTGCCTACAAAAGTACGTGGAGACCAACAAGAAACAAATCGCGGTCAAAAAGACTCGAGAGGACTCGAAAGTCAAACCGTAGGACTTGGGACTGACTTGAGATTTGTTGGCCTTTGACTTGGACTCGACTCGGGACTTGCCTGTCTTGACTCGTGACTTGACTCGGGACTTGAGGGCAATGAATTGAGACTGACTTGTGACTTGCTAAACAATGACTTTGTCCCACCTCTGCAATTTACAGATACAGAAATTCTGACAACAAATCTACAGCCAGTGCCACACAGAGATAAGAAAAAAGGTAGATGAAACGAGTTCGGAAAAAATATAAAAATAACAAATTTAATAAATTAACAGCCAATGTCGTGTTCAATGTTGAAGCTTGTAGCTAGAGATAGGAATACTAGAGATAGGAATACAACTTTTTGACATATTTCAAAATAGAGATGTATATTTTTGGCAAATAAAGAATTCAGAATTTAACTCTGAACCAGAGCAGAGAACCGAGAAAACTATGCACACATCACCAGTGGCTGATCAATAAAGTATCTATCTATCTATTCATATATTGGATATCGGTATCAGCTGAGGAAAAAACAAAAACATGGGCCATCCCTCAAACCTCAGCCTGAATCAATAAACCGTTCTATGTCTGCTGCTTTATATGTTGTTTTATACTGTATTTCTTCGATCAGTGATTCTCAGTCTGGTTGATAGGTCCGTGCTGTGCTAGCGGCTAGGATAACGACATGATGGATGCCCGGGTTTCATCTAAGTGGTTCGCCCATAAATCTGCTGTGTCATCTGCGTTCCAGTAACAGCGACGTGGACAGACCAGAAAGCAACATCCTCGATATGAGAAGAGACGGGCTGCATCCAAATTCATAACAATTTATCTGTGTACTTTGTTTGTATCTGCCAATATACAGTATGTGTGTCAGTCCTGGGCTTATTCGTTTCAGTGTCAGTTTCTTTATTTATTTAGACATGTATGATGATTCTGACTATTTCAGGCACTATTACAGGTCAAAATTAGGTCTGAAAAAGGAATAGACAGAAGCTAAAGCCTATAGACGCCTGCCCTTTAATATACAGCCTTAAATAGCTGCAACACACAAATAAAAATAACATCATATTTTTCTCGAGCAGATCTTGAAGTGTTTTATCCATATTCCCTGTTGGTCCATGAGTTGTTTCTTTGGCAAATGTATTTATAAAGCACTAATTCTATGGACAGGGGAAGATCCAGGACATTTATCCATCTTCTCAAATACACTTGAATCTTTGGTCTTTCATGGATCAATTACAATCTGTTCTATTATGACTGTTCTATGTTCTGTTTTATTTTCTTATCTTTCTAATCTGCTGTCAGCAAATCAACAACTTCTGAAGCCCTTCTGCAGCTTGTTGTTTGTTTTAACTTGTATTTAACCAGGAATGTTCCATTGAGATTAATAAACGTCACATTGCGTGGTGAGAATTAAAATCTCTTGGGAGCAAACGCTGTGCAGAGTCATCTCCATTTTTTTCCATTGAGATTAATAACCTCTTATTCAAAAGAGTCCTGGACAAGCGGCAGCAAAAAATAGATTTTGGGCACCAAACAAAAATATATCGATTGGAGTTTACTTGTGCATTTAAGGTGGGATTACATCACAAGACTTTAAAGAATATTACTGGAGTCTCATTAAGATTTGTTTTGTAATAATTCATTAACAATCACAGAATATCTTTTTGTAGAAACTGCATTACAATTATCAGCTATGGTTAGAGAAAGAGTCGGCTTTATTCAAATTATTCAAAAAATTCAATATTTGCTCATTATAAAACTGTTATGAACTTCTGATAATATAATAACAATGTTCCCTCTTAAATGTCTTGCCTAAAAGTTATATTTTGAGTCTGAGTGCTCAAGAGAATTATCCTCTTCTACCCTCTCTCCACCCGTTCTGTGCTTATAATAAATACATTCAGACATGTGTCATTCCTTATTGAGTTTTAGAAAATATATTTGTCAACAGCACAATCCAGTAAATGAAAATCTATTTGTTTCTTGTTAAAATCCAATATGAAATGTGTGTCTGTTTAGCCAATTGCAACAGGAAGTCAATACCTCCGCGTTTAATTGTTTTTGATCAATATTGCAGTTTATTGCAAAAATTGTTGTCGGACTGGTATGCACATGTAGCATAGTATTACAGTTTTGGAAAGAAACAGATTGATTGAGAGTGCTTGTTAGACAGAAGATGAGACTGTCCTTTTTCAAATCCAGGCAGGATATTTAGGTGTTAGTTATGAAAATTCTAACAAAACCATTGCAGTCATTTCAATATTTATATCTTGTAACCTTAGTTATCGCTTAAACCCTTGGAAAAACACAGGTCTTCATTCAAATCAAATTATTAAGATTGCATTGAGCTGTATTTGACAGTATCTTTAACAGGGGTTTAATGGGGAACCGGGCCTTTGTGAGTGAAATTTGCATGTTCTGCCTTGTGGAGAAAAAAAGTTTCTCCACTTCCTCCAACATCTTCACACTGTCCACCTCGTTATCAGCAAAGTAATTCCAGTTCTTGCAGCTGGTGCAAAGCTTCTACCGCTCCTTCTTCTCCTTCCAACTGCTGAACCTGGGGAAAACTCCAGGTTCAGCAGTTTTCCCCACCACTTTAACCGGTCATTTGGGTGAAAATGCACATATATAAGCAGATCTTTGTTTCAAAAGAGATCGACAAACTTATTGTGTGATTTTACATCCACGAATACAGCCTTTTGCTGCAAGTGAACCAGAGTTGGTCCAGTTAATGCTCTTCTCCTCTGGGGCAGGATAACATATATTAACATTAACTTCAAAATATTAAATGCAAGCTCTGCCTTGTGTACAAGTGAAGTTCATAGAAGCCATATATATATTTCAATATATTTTTTAAAAACAAACACATGGCCATAATCTGATGACAGGATTCCCACTCCAGCTGGTGATGTGGCTCAGCTGGGCGTCCACCATTTTGGCAATGCCCAAAGCTGCTGTCATACATCTATGGGCTGTAGGCTATTACTAAGATGTGATGACATAGGGTTAGGTATGATGCTTCACATGCAGCCACGGTACTATTGAATGACACCATGCCTACTCTATTGTAACCCACTCAGCTTACATCTTAAAACCAGTCTCATACATATTGCAAGAGTCTTTTAAATATGCGACTCATTTCAATAACAGGAAAAAGTAGTTGTCCTTGTAAGAGATTAGGAATGACTATTATATCCCTGGGCTGTGTACTACCTCTGCTTTGCGTCACCTTGCCCCCAGAGATGCTGGATTAAACAGCCCCAGTTCAGATGATGAATAACATAATAATTATATAAAAACGTTGTGATGATACAAAACGTAGTATACCTGTAGGTTGACATGCCAGTACATGTCCAGTCCAGGCCAGACGTCTGAAATGTCATCCGCGTTGCATCCCTTACCAATGGCCGCACCCAATACCCATCTCTTCCCCAGAGCTTTTACGCACAACAAACACAACTACTGTACGTCTCACTTACAGTAATAGGATAAAAACTAGAATATTGACACATAACACAGAGGAAAAAAATCACCTCTACGATGCTGCCAAAAGTCTCTCTTTCTGCCCGGACAGACTTCCACCTTCTGCGCGTCTCTCCACAGGGTCGTGCCCGGCTAGCGGCTGCCTCCCCCCGCCATAAAACCAACACAGGGGATGACAGCGGACGTATAAGGTCCCTGGTCACACCCACCGTCACGCCCGGGGCTCGTCGGGTGTATCCGAAGACGAGGCTCTGTCCCCGGGGTCGAGAGAAGTGATGCGGCTCGGTCCAAAATGGCTCTGGGTCTGAGAGAGCTCCGTGTGTGCGCGAGGACAGAGAGGAGGATGCTGCCGCTGACGTCACCAAGGGAGGAGGGGGAGGAGGAGGAGGAGGGGAGAGGGGGTGATGCAGACGGGCGAGTAACTAGTGCTAGTGCTTTAAGGAAATATGTGTAGTTACAGCATATCAGCATATCTGCATTAAAGCTGGGGAACTTAACTTTCACACCCCCTCCAATAACAGTTTGTCTATCACTCGTTATCATACTCACACACATATACACGTATTCACACACACGCACGCACGCACACACACATACACGCACACGCACACATATATCAATCAATCAATCAATACATTTTATTTATAGAGCCCTTTACAACACTCAAGGCGACCAAAGTGCTTCACAATAAAATTACATAAAATCCATTTATAACATTTATACATTAAAAACAATAAAACAGTAAAAAAAAAAAAAAACATTTAAAAAGTGTTACCTGCTATTGAGTGATAAAAGTGTTAAAAGCCAGTCTGCTTTTAACACTTATTTGGCCTCGTTGCATCTTTAGATCAATACAAACAATGTTTTTTCACAACATTTGACTGTTTACTGTAGATACTTTTGGTGGGAGAATTCATTAGATACAAAGTTAGAATCCCCGTGAACTTTAAGGTGTTATTTGTAAACCAGGCTATTTGGTTAAATGTGCTGAATACTAAGTCACTTTTATATAGTAACGTAAAAACTACATAACAACTATTTTCAAAGTTTTATTATTGTTTTTTGAATCATAGAGGAAAAGGGTTTCCTATTTCAACACTTTTAATATATTATTACAGATAATTTAAAGATTGAAGAATAGGACATTATTTCTAGTATTCTAAGTTGATATTAGCACAAATGTCGGCCTACATTAACTAATACATTTTCAAAGAGAAAACCTTTATTCTAACAAATAATTGAACCAAAAACAGTAGGAAGCACAAAATACATTGTTAAATATTCAGTCAAACACATTAGGACTCAATGTGACACACTAATATGTAATGATGATGTTCATACACAGCAGCATGTGGACTGAATAAATAAATAAACAGACAGAGATAGTGAGTTATCAGTGGAGAAAGGATGACACATACAGCCTGACTCAGAAGTGTTCATTGCACAGTCTGACCGCAGTGGAAAGAAAAAAACGTGCTGTGAAACATACTCAAATAATGTAAATCTTGAAAATGAATGAATAGTGACATGTGAAGCATCTTTAAATGTCCTGAAAAACGCTATACAGTATAAAACCGATGAATTATTATTATCATTTATTATGTCCCTGTCCCTGTGAATAACCGTAACCGTAATTCTGTTAATTCTATGACAATAACTTTATGCAAACTGCACATGGCACCAATACAAAGTCACTCATTTAAGTAAATATTATACCATTTTGTAAGTTATTCATACACAACAAAACTGTGTGTTATGTGTTCTCTCATTAACAATCCAGTGGCCTGAAGGAGAAGAAGAGGTTTTCTTGGTGATGCCAAGATCAATATTGTCTGCTTTTAAAACTGTGGCCTACTTTAGCTGGAAATCCAATCTTTTCATGACAAATATTGACTTATAAAACTATAACTATAACACATCACATCATCAAAGCGTGTCACATATGAAACTTTAAAAAATATTTGTTGTCTTACTTATACTTAAATTAATCTGGTTGATGAATATACAATAGCTTTTCAAATATATCACAGTAAAATGTTGTGAACAAATCAGACCAAAACATCTTATATTTATCTCATTAGAAAACTCAGATTCCTGTGTGTCATCAGATTTTAATATTTAAATGACTTCATTTTTTTGATAGTTTTCCATTTGAATTTGCAAACCATGAAAAATTATGTTTGAAGGTGATTTTTTTTCATACTCAAATTGATGAATTCAGATCGATTTAAAGTTCAAAATCATGGAACAAATTATATGTCTTTATTTTTTTGCATCAAATTTCAGACTGCATTGAATTTGAAGGCTTAAAAATAAACATATTGAATATTCTAAAGCCAAATGTCATTATGAAATTTGAATAACATTGAAATGTGTGAACTGAATTTTTAATCAATTATATTCAAATAAAAAAATATTAAAACATGCTTTTTCATGATTAGAAAATGTCGAAATTCAAACTCTTCGAGACATTTCTGTCTGAAAGAACTGATCTACAGTTGAGACAGAGGCCAACAATACATGCTCATGAAAGTTAGAGATTTGAGAGTGAAAAACTAATTACATTAATTTTATTACATAGATTTTTTGTGGTTCTGAACACAGGATAGATGCCAACGTGCAGGTGAAACTGAGACCAGAGATAGAAAGAGAGAGAAACACCAGAGGAACTCATTTATAAGCAGCCTCTTGCTTCTTGTAAATGACGTCAGCAGAAATATTCGTCACAAGATAGATGGAAGGGAGCGTGTTGCATGTATTGATCCGAGCTGAGTCCCCCTTTAGGCAGCACTAAAGAGGTCTGCAGGGTCTGGAGAAGGTCACCTGGATAAGAACGCAAGGACAGGCTGATTATAGAACCCTCGTGTCTGCAATCACAAATGAACCTTAGAGCCGTGTACAGACTCACTTGTATTTTCTGTCTGTATATGATTTGTTATTTTCATTCAAACAAAAAGCAGGGCTGAAATAAAGCCAAAGCAAAAGAACAGACCGGAAGATTTCATTCCATTCACCTGCCTTCAGCTTTCACCTGGCAGCATTTAAACAGGCTTCATCCTTCACTCAGCTCCCAGCTTGTGCTACAACCCTCCTCAATAGTGGGACATTCTCTCCTCAAGTCATCAAATGCGCTAATGCAGGGGTGTCAAGCCAATTTTGGCCCAAGTGGGCCAAATATCAAAAAACATATTTTATATAATATTAATATTTAAAATGAAATAAAACATGCCATAGTATCCCAACAATGCTGCAAGTTACTGTAATAATGATAATTGAATATCTTTTCAGGGGCCGTTAACAATGGTGTCGCTGGCCGGGTTTTGCCCACGGGCCTGAATTCTCTCCTGCATATGTCATGTGTCATTTCAGGCTGTGCAAAAACCTTAATAACCCTTCCATTTACCAACATATGTTAATAAACAGTATTCTCTAGAATACTTTGTCGGCTGCATCTATTTGCAGTGTATTTATTGTACATCTTGTACCCAGTGCTTCCTGTTCCTATTGTATGGAAGAGAAAACACAGCAGTATATTTGGAAAATCTTCATAATACATATTGTAATCACAGTCCTTGAGACCACTATTCTTCATGTGGTTTTAATACATCCAATACATCCTTTGTTGTCTTTCCATGTTGAAAAATTAGGAATGATTTATAATGAACAAGAAAAGCTTGCAGCGTCACATTTCATTGTAATCAAATCTAATCTGAAATCTATTGATCGAGTGTTGCTTCAGTGCTCTGACTTCCACTGATTCTAGTCCAAGGTTAAAAAGACCATATGTGCTTTAAGTGATTAATTAAACTGATGTGAGCTATAGCTGCACATATATACATAGATATAGAGGGTTAATGTCACAGTATATGTGATGGACTGGTATTCTGACCAGGTTAAAGTCAGTAGGGTTAGAAGGAAGAAGTGTGCAGTCTCCCCTACAATAGACAATCTTTAAATCACAACAGTAGTTATCTCAGAGGACGTTACAAAACCGTCGCCAACACAGATCAGAGAATCAAAAAGTTCAAGCACAAGAAATGGAATGATATAAAACACATAGAGCCATTGGTCCTAAGGAGAAGACGACCAATGTCCATAAAAATACTTAACCACGACGCAAATATAGAATAAGAATCTATATTGATGTAAAAACAAAATCAGGCTGTTAAAAAGGCCGCGATTGTAAAATGACAAAATGCTTACGATGTTAGGGCCCCAGTTTGAATATTATTTCAAAGTACAAGAGCAGGATTTTCTCCCTAACATTCAGGAGCAGTCTTGTAAACAGCAATTCTGAATGAGCAGTTTGGATACGGCCTGCTCAAGTTTCAGCCTCAGTGAAATACAATGCACTGGCCTTCTCTGTCCTATCTCCTCTCTCTCGCTCTCCCTCTCTTTCTCCCCCCTCTCTCTGCCCCTGTCTCTCTCTCTCTCTCTCTCTCTCTGTCTCTGTCTCTCTCACTCTCTCTCTCTCTCTCTCTCTCTCTCTGTCTCTGTCTCTGTCTCTGTCTCTGCCTCTCTCTCTCTGTCTCTGCCTCTCTCTCTCTGTCTCGGTCTCTCTCTCTCGCTCTCTCTCTGTCTCTGTCTCTCACTCTCTCTGTCTCTGCCTCTCTCTCTCTGTCTCGGTCTCTCTCTCTCGCTCTCTCTCTGTCTCTGTCTCTCACTCTCTCTGTCTCTGCCTCTCTCTCTCTGTCTCTGTCTCTCTTTCTCTCTCTGTCTCTGCCTCTCTCTCTCTGTCTCGGTCTCTCTCTCTCTCGCTCTCTCTCTGTCTCTGTCTCTCACTCTCTCTGTCTCTGCCTCTCTCTCTCTGTCTCTGTCTCTCTTTCTCTCTCTGTATCTGTCTCTGCATCTCACTCTCTAGCTCTAGGTCTCTGTCTCTGCCCCCCTCTCTCTCTCTCTCTCCCTCTCTCTCTCTCTGTTTCCTGCACCTCCCAGGAGATTTTGACTTGTGCTTTATACAACCTATTGTAACATTGCAAACTAACTACTGTATGTGTCTGTGGAAAATGCCAAAGCTGCAAGTGATCACCCCATCACAAAATCATGCTTCAAGGTTCTCATGGGAACACTGAAGAAAAATAAACAAACAAGAACGTAAAGAAGGTCCGAAGCACTCTTGTCACTTGTGGGGTTTTATTCATGCCTTGAACCAATAAGTATGTGGTGGAATCTACATTAGAATCAGTTTAGATGAATCTGTAACATCAGCCTGCCCAGGGATACAGGTGTAAATTAGCATCTTTGCTCTTTGCTGTATCCTGGTACAATGCATCTCTCTCCCTTGTGTTAATGCTCAATTGTATACTATCCCTGTTCAAATAAAGTACATACCAAACCATATTGTGTCTCTTTAGAATTAAAAACCGAGACAGCAGTAGTGATTATTCTCTCTCTCTTGCATGGTCTGTACACAAGATCATGCTTCTACTATGTCAAACTGCTCAGTATACTGTAAAAGTGTGGGTTTAGAG